CAGATGCTCTGCTGGAGAAGGAGGGGCAATCTCTTCCTGTACCAAGCACATCTGATTTGATGGTACACACAAAAAATAATAAAAGAAAATTGAAAATAAACCAACAACAACAACAAACTTTTGGAATCTTATTTTGAAAAGCAGAGACAGAGCTCAGTTTAAGAAACCTCAGTATGTACCAACTAAAACACCAGATAAACCATGAACAGTGAAAAAAAACAAAAAAAAGAAACCTCAGTGTGTCAGAACCACTGCACTGTAGATGGGCCATTGGTCTACCAAGAAGAGCAGCTTTTTTATTCTTATGTGTCTTGCTACAGCAATACTACAAGATCCGCAGTCAAGCAGTCCAACAGCTGAAGGTCAGCGGGGAAGACCCATACCCACACAAGTTCCATGTGGACATCTCGCTCACGGAGTTCATCCAGAAGTACAATCACCTGCAGCCTGGGGACCACCTGACTGACATCACCTTAAGGGTGGCAGGTAGGAAAAGTCTCTGGCAGTTTGCTACACTCTTGAAACAGACAGACCTCTTCGGTAGAACAAAGGAAGCTTTGAGGCAGTCTTGTTCTCAAGAAGCCTGCTGTCTGCTGCGGTGCTCTCCTAGGATGCAATGATGACACAGAGAAAGGACATTCAGTGAGGGGAAACTCCTGGCCTGCCACTGCTCCCCTGTTCTCTAGAAGGCCTTTTCTTCATTCCTAGGAACCTTGTGGTCCCCTTCTTAGATTCCTAAGAAGTCCATTCCTAGGAACCTTGTGGTCCCCTTCTTAGATTCCTAAGAAGTCCAGTCTTTGGCCTGAGAATACCTTGCATTGAGACTGTATTTCTAGAGCATTGTTCATGGTTGTGGCATCTTCTATACCTTATTGTTATTTAATTAATATCACTTCCTTCTCTGTTGCCCTAAAAAAAACCTATTCGTTGTAGGAAACTTAGAACATTTCAAAGAAGTAAAGAGAGAAGTTTCAATAACAGTAAAGACACAGTCCAGAGAAAGCCCTTTCATACACACTTGGGTGTGTGTAATGCATAAATACAAGGTTGGGATTTTGGGGTTTTTTTTAAAGAAAATGAGATTATGCTTCATCTATTCAGTGAAAGCCTTAATGTATTATGAACATTTCAGTAAATACCTTTATTACCCTTCTTAACAGGAGTATGTGTGGCTGTCAAAATCAACTCCACGCAACTGGTTTTGTTTTGCTTTTAGTTGTGGCAGTAATTTTATATGGTTAGCTGATCCTTGGTGTATGTTGTTCGTTTAGATTGGGTCCAGATTTGTGTATAAGCAATTAAGGTGAACATTTAAAAAATTACAAAGCACAGATAGGAAAACACTCTACCAAAAAAAAAAATATCGTTTGTGAATTATTACACAATAAATATCTTTGTAGCCACCACCCAGATCAAAGAATAGAATCTGCCTGTATCCTTTAGACTGTCTGGAGTTCCCTCACTCAGTTCCCTTGTGTGGCAGAGCCCTCCCCTGTCAGCTGCTGTCCTTCAGTTCACCAGCCATAAGTTCCTCTGAACACTTAACAGTGGTTTGAGGATTCTCCAGTTTTCAGGTCCGTCAAGCACCCTTTTGCCTTCTAGTTCTTTTTCCTGCAGTTTTTGATGTCTGCCCATCTCTGTATTTTGAGATTCTTGGGAATACCTTTTCACAAAATTTTGCCGTAATGCTCTCTGTGGTATTTGGTGTCATCTTTCTATTTGTTACTTCCTATCTGTGAGGCTTCAGGAAGCTCCAAACTGCTGCCAGTAGCTCTGCCACCTGCCAGGAATCCCGGGAGCAGCTTTCGAGCTCCCGTCTTTCTGCATATTTCCGATGTTTTGAATGGGGATCACTGGTTAGTATAAAGAAGAAGATAGGCCTCGGGCCTTGGGCTCTAGGTTGTGTTCTACTCTGAGAGTAACCCAGCAGTGGAAGCTCTTGGGGGCAAGGGAGGGGTCATAGTGTGAAGTGACTTGGTTCTCTCCATCAATATTTCTGGTCTGCCTTTTCTAGGTAGGATCCATGCCAAAAGAGCTTCTGGAGGCAAGCTCATCTTCTATGACCTTCGAGGAGAGGGGGTCAAATTGCAAGTCATGGCCAATTCCAGGTATATAGGAATATCTGCTCACAGTCCTTTGTGGACTGGCCCATGTTGGGAATAGAGGCTCATGTGATCTTATTTCCACACTGGTAGTTGAAACGAGAACAAGATGCAAAGGGGTATGATTAGGTGAGGTTGGAGAAGGATAAAAAGGACAGTTGGTTACTGAGAGAGAAGAGACTGCTCTCAGGTTGTATTAGCAGAGAAAAAGAGAACACTCTATACAAAATGCCCTTGAGTCTGAAAGTCATCTTGGCCTTATACTGTCTATTAAGCGCTTTACTGTAAACCCATAGTCACTCTTAATCTGGGCTATTGTATATTGAATTTTCCTCTAACTCAGGAATTACAAATCAGAAGAAGAATTCATTCATATCAATAATAAACTGCGTCGGGGAGACATAATTGGCGTCCAGGGGAATCCGGGGAAAACCAAGAAGGGTGAGCTGAGCATCATGCCCTACGAGATCAAGCTGCTCTCTCCCTGTTTGCACATGCTGCCTCATCTGCACTTTGGCCTCAAAGACAAGGTGAGCTCTGGGGGGGTCTCGTGCTGGGACTTGAAGATGCACGCCCTCTTTATTTCCTTCTTTTTTTTTTTTTTTAATAATCCTATCTGCAATTGCTAATTGTTTCTTTTGGTTTAGGAAACACGGTATCGTCAAAGATACTTGGACTTGATCCTGAATGACTTTGTGAGGCAGAAGTTTATCGTCCGCTCCAAGATCATCACATATATAAGAAGTTTCTTGGATGAGTTGGGGTTCTTGGAGGTGAGGAGGGATCTCATGCCTTACTGTGCTTGCTGTTTACTTCGCCTCCCTTCTTTCTTTTGTTCTTTATTTGAGTGAATGTTTACAAATCTTATTGGTACTTTTCATTCAGTCATTCACATTTTGTTTTATAATGTTAATTAAAATTTATACTACTCTTTACATTGTCTAATCAAATTCTTACTGTATTATATATTACCTTTTCCCTTTACCCAACTTATCTGTTTATTCATTTTTGCTTTTCTCTCCCACCCTTTTCATCCCTATTAACTCCAAAGAGTGATTCTATCTGGGTGTAAAGATGCCTTTCCTTCCCTAAGATGTATTCTTTGTCATTTACCTTCATACCTGGAAGTCATCCCCAGAATATCAGCAGTTAACATTTTACTAATATGGCCAAATTGAATTCGAGAAGGGCTGTACCCGTTTGTTGTAGTTTGCCATCCAGTTGGAAAAAAACCCATTTCCGACCCTCCAGCAGGTTTTCAGAGGCAGTAAATTAACACAGGAAGAGATTGCCCGTCCTTCTCCCACAGAACAGCTGATGAGTTCAAACTGTGTGCCTTTGGAATCGCAGTGCAGCTGCTTACTACTAGGACACTAAAGCTTTAGGAGTCTATTTTTATATAGTGAAGGTTATAATGACTGTGTTAATGATAATTTGACATTACTTGTAAAAATGTTGACATTCTAGAAGGTCAGGCAGTCTATGTTTGTACCAAGTACTTAATGTTACTACTGAATTTAACTTTTACTTTGAGGTCGAATAGGCTTAGACTCTATTACATGGAGAATACAAGTTGTCCCTAAAACTTCTCCTTATCTGGAAACTATGTAACTCCTTGTCTTTTCAGATTGAAACGCCCATGATGAACATCATCCCAGGAGGCGCAGTGGCCAGACCTTTCATCACGTACCACAACGAGCTGGACATGAACTTATATATGCGAATTGCTCCAGAGCTCTACCACAAGGTAACCAGCAATAAGATGGACTTTTCCCTTAGAGAAGCAGAAGGCTGAAACACCCATCAGCTGGACAGGTGCAGTAAGAAAGAGAGAGTGAGATCAGAATAACCAAATTCTGATTTGTCACTGTCATAATTAGACTTTATTTCAAGATTATGGAGAATTTCAAGGCAGAAGACAGAGAGATTGGGTCTCCTACCCAACTTTTTATTCCCATATACTGATTTTTTTAAAATTTGTCTTTTTAGTTTAAATGAAGGTTTACAAGTTATATTTTATCTCATTCTATTAAGTTTATCGTTTTTCTCCAATTAATTTACTTTTAGTTTAAGTACTAAATACTTAAGAACTGTCTGTCATTCAAGATTTAGTTACAGATAACAGAACACACTATGACTTGTTTAAATAGAAAAATGCATTTATGTAAGAGAATGCGAATCAGCTGAGACCACACAGCTCAAGAGTTCTTGCATAAGTCATTGTCACTAAGATCTCTGAAGCTACTACGCCTAAAAGCTAGATTTCTCTGGTCCACTTGATGGAAATAAATTCTGTGCAATAGCTGTATCTTTTGATAAATTGCTTTCCTAAAATCGCACAGATGCATGCATCTGGTAGATGGAGTTTGGGTCACACACCTACCTGCCTCCTAAATCCAGAAGTTATTTGAGGAGGCTCAGACTGAAGAAGGATGAACTGCTCGTTACAAGGGCCTAGGGAGAGCCTGATCGGGAAGTTTTGGGATAAGTCACTCAAGAGCATTCCTGGACCAAGCAGGAGTGTTTGTAGACAGAAAGTTTGCAGGGCGCTTAGCTTGATTCGCTGCCATCGTCATGATCATGTGTTGTTAGATGCTGGTGGTTGGTGGCCTCGATCGGGTTTATGAAATTGGACGCCAGTTCCGGAACGAAGGGATTGATTTGACTCACAATCCTGAGTTCACCACTTGTGAGTTCTACATGGCCTACGCAGACTACCACGACCTCATGGAAATCACAGAGAAGATGATGTCAGGTGAGCCTCCCACCCGCTTGCCTTTCACACAAGTCTGGGCGCTGCTCTTGGAGAGCTTCCTGTTGACCCTCTTTCGATGCCGGTTTCCCTCCCAGGGATGGTGAAGCACATCACTGGCAGTTACAAGGTCACCTACCATCCAGATGGCCCCCAGGGCCAAGCTTATGAGATCGACTTCACTCCACCCTTCCGAAGAATCAGCATGGTGGAAGAGCTTGAGAAAGTCCTGGGGGTGAAGCTGCCAGAAACTAACCTCTTTGAAACCGAAGGTACAGCTACACACCCCTCCGTGTTAGGGACCTGTTTGCCATTCAGCTCTGCATCTGGGTGGATCAGGACTAGGGCTTCCCCACACTCTTCACCCTTCCCTTTTATTTCCTGTTTGACTGGGATAGCGTGGTGTCTCTGTGCTACCCTGCATGTTTGTTTTACAGAGACACGCAAAATCCTCGATGAAATCTGCACAGCAAAAGCTGTTGAGTGTCCTCCCCCTCGCACCACAGCCAGGCTCCTTGATAAGGTGAGCGGCCGGGCTCCTGTCTTCATCCAGTGGGACTGACCCCCTGGGGAGAACTAGCTTTTGTCGCCTCACAGGGAGGTCCTACAGAATTAACGCATTTCAGCCTTTTGTCATATTAAGCTCTGTGTCGATAAGGTTATGTGTGAGATCTCAATTCATTCCAAGCAGCCAATGAAAAGCTGTAAGAAAAAGCTTTTTTTGAGTGGCCACTGAATCTTGGTCTGCACAGGATAGGATGATCCAAATGTCATTCAGAAGGAAGTGAGAGTTGTTCTGCTTTGCTTTCTCATTAAGCTCTGCTGTGCTTTTTCCTGAAGCTTGTTGGAGAGTTCTTGGAAGTGACTTGCATCAACCCCACGTTCATCTGTGATCACCCACAAATAATGAGCCCTTTGGCCAAGTGGTAAGATGAAGCATATCACCCAGGACTTGGTGGCATAAAACATTAGCAGTTTATTCTTTCTCAAGATTTTGTGGGTCACCTGCGTGGTGTTTTTGCTCCATATAGTGGTGTTAGACCAGCGCATGGCATTTCCAGCTGCTGAGGTTGCGTTCCGTTTTCAAGTCACAGTGACACTACTGAGTCAGTTAGAATCCAGACACCTGTGTTTGTGGCAGACATTGGATTATTAGGGTATTGTGTCTCAGCCTCGCTTCATCTCTTGTCCTCAGGCACCGCTCTAAAGAGGGTCTGACCGAGCGTTTTGAGCTCTTTGTCATGAAGAAGGAAGTGTGCAATGCCTACACTGAGCTGAATGACCCCATGCGGCAGCGGCAGCTCTTCGAAGAACAGGCCAAGGTAAGAGAGCAGTGTGGACAAAGCCAAGTATTGCGTCTTGGTGCCCGCTAACCAGTAAATACCTGCCTCAACCCTGGTCTCCTGAAGACCATCAGAAACAAAGGAGGAAGCCACATTTCAGGGTGGAGATGGTGTTACTTTCTTTGCCCTAACAATGCCACAAATCAGATGGCTTCAAGAATAGACATTATTTCCTGACAATTGTGTAAGCTAAAAGTAAAGCAAGGTATTGGCCTTACAAGGACTATAAGATGGAAATTGTCCTATACCTTTTTCCTCACTTCTGCTAGGTCCATCCATTGCCTGGAGCTGCAGTTTCCCATGGTGTCTTTTCTCTGTCCCCATTTCTTTGCATAGCTTCTCTTTTACAAGAACTGCAGTGAAAGAGGTTTAGGGCCCACACTACAGTATGGCTTCACATCACTCCTGACGCCCTCAAATAGGGGATGAGACTTGAGTTTGTCTTTCAGGGGCACAGTGCAGTCTATAACAGGACACTTGAAAGGTTTTGCTTTCAAGGGTGTATGTCTGAGGAGCTTAATTATGATTTTCTTTTCTATGCTCTGAAGAGCGTAATACTTACCTTGAACGTACATTGTGACACATTTTCTTAGGTGGTTGAGAATGAGATTCAGATAAAAGATTAATGCCGACTGAGACCTGCAAATTGCCTGCTGGTCCTGTCACTGCCACTGAGAGATGAGTAGGATCAGGAAGAGAAAGGAGGCCTAGTCGTGGGTCCTCACACCCTGGGCAGCGGTGTCATTTCACAGAACTCTGGATGTGTTATGGAGTGTAGAGTTTATTGGCTCTGACCTCCAGGTCTTTGAAAGGAATGACCCAATCTGGGAGTTTTGAGGAAGCCCATTTCCACCCAGTATTGGATTGTCTCTAGGATGGTAATCCCTCCCAACACTAATATCCTCGCTAATGTGACACAGGCAGCACAGTCTGGGATGATAGCATCTTTTGATTTTCTTTTCTAGGCCAAAGCTGCTGGTGATGATGAGGCCATGTTCATAGATGAAAACTTCTGTACTGCCCTGGAATATGGGTTGCCCCCGACAGCTGGCTGGGGCATGGGCATTGACCGGGTCACCATGTTCCTCACGGACTCCAATAACATCAAGGTACATAAGCAGTATCCACATCATCCGCTGCCCGGTGGCGGCAGGGCATGGTAGGCCTGGAGGATCAAATGGGCGCTGGGCTGAAAGGAATTGTGAGCAGAGGAGCTGTGTGAACTTAAAGGAGGAGCTGCCTACAGATCTCTGCAGCTCTCTGGGTTTGGGTGGTGACAGGAACCAGACAGAGACTTGGTAGCTGCAGGAAGCTTTTCTGAGTACTTCTTCACTTCACGGTGCATCTTTGTCTCCTGTAGGAAGTGCTTCTGTTTCCTGCCATGAAGCCTGAAGATAAGAAGGACGACACAGGAGCCACTGATAATCCAGAGAGCAACCCAGTTGGCACTTCTGTCTAGAACATGATTGTGAATCGTGTAACTCAGGCTTCTTTACTTCACACTGCTGCAAAAGAGCGAGGTCTGCCCTCCATGTTGTTACTACGTTCAGTTCAGGCACCAGAAGAAAGAAGAGGAATTAAGAATTCTTGTTTACTCCTTATTATCAAATAAACCACTTGTCTCTGTTCTTGTCTTGCACCATTCTGTTTCCCATTGGTTAGCAGCATGACCATGCCTCCAGGTCTACCTCTTCTCTCCTTGCCAGCTTTGTTCCAGACTCCTGGCCTAATAAATGGTTAGGATTCTGTCATTCAGAACTGCATGTTTAATGGCCTGCTGTGTGCTGGACAGTAGTCTAAGGAATTGAAGGCACTGCAGTAAACAAAGCTAAGTCCTTGCTTTTGTGGGACTTGTATTCTTATTTGAGGATAGGGAAAGGAGCAGATTAAAACTAACATACCTCTGGTGATGGTACATCCTAAGAAGGAGATAAAGACAGAAGTGCTGTTGAAAGAAGATAGCTAGTGACAGTATTAATTTGATACCAAAAGGCCCCTGGTAGGTGACGTTTGGAGCATCTGCTGGTGTAATTTGCAGGAATTGTGAGCCCAAAGGGCACTCCTGGTGTCTGAAATCCAGCTCGTCCACTGGAGAAAGGGTAGATTCCTTCTGTGGGATGAGCAGCCTTAGAAACCCAGCAGAGGGTCAGCACTTATTTGGGTCATCTTACTGCCTTCTTCAAACGAATTCTTTCCATTGGGCAGTACTGTTTCAGAAGAAAATCAGACTTGTGTACCGATATATGACTTCATTTTTACTGAAACCCACGCAGAGGCCTTGCTTTCTGCCTAGTAAGAGGACAGAGGACTTGCATCATCCAGACTCCACATGATCCTAAACGCAGTAACTGAGCCTGTTGGACTCTACCGTTGACTCCAGGGAACTACAAAGACCACAATACACTGCGCGTTCTGGGGGCGTGGCTAACCAGCTCTGTTCTGTGACGTCACGTCCGGCGGGCCGCCTGGGTCCGGGTCGCTCCGGGGAGTGTTCAGCAGTGGAGCGCCGCGGTGTGGTGGGTCACGGAACCGGACCCGCGCAGGTCTGTGGGGTAGGTGCTGTGGGTTCGTGACTCTGTTGCGCCCGTTACGTATGGAAGGGGGTGCAGAGGGCTTACCTGACGCGTGTCCCGTGGGCAGATAGCGCGCCAGGCTTGCTGTCACTTTCCACGCGGGAAGGGCTCCTGCTGGGGGCAGGTGGTCCGCAGCCGCGTCCCCCGGAACCGGTGGGGCCAGCGTGCGCGCTGCCCCTGCCTCGCGGGCTGTGTCTCTCCGAAGATGTCATGTAATTAATGGCCTGAGCGCGCAGGGAGGACGCTCAGTGACTGCAGGGAGTGTGGGTGCTTAGGAAGGGAGGCGACATCCTCCTGTGGGCGTCTTACAGCCTTTGCTCCCCAGGCAACTGACTAGATGTCCTTTGACAAAGAGCGGGGTCCTTGAGCTTGTTGCAGCTGTTAGGAAGTGGAGCCTTGGACCAAAGCGATCCCATTTTGACTAAACTACCAGAGTTCCTGTTAAAGGTCTAGATCAAATTTTGTAATTAAACTAGCAGAAAGTTTAGAAAAGAAGGGCATGTAGATTTTACTTATAATAAATTCTAGTTTGTCAGAACGTTCATTCCAACTCCAGTCCATATTCATTGGTAATAAATTAACTGAATGAAAAAAGTATAGTATAGTCTGGGCTGTTTGATCTTAAGCATTTCCTCTGGCATTTCTTCCTTCCTTGGCTGTTAGTTTGCAGTGTGTGCCTCTTTAATTTTTAGGTGGATCCTAAAATCCTGCCTTGTGACTATTCTAAATGAGAGGAATTTGTTTTCTGGGAGATCAAGTCTTCGAAAGAATGTGTGCCTTTAAAGTTACTATTTTTTTTACTTCCTACCAGATAACAGTCAAGTGTCCATAGTTACTAGCCATATAAAATATATTACATTAAAAATTCCAAATAAGAAATAATCCTGTAATAAGAAATGGGCACTACTTTTTGACATGCATTAAAACATTAATACTGGTGTTTTAAGTGGTGTATTTGGAGTTGCAGTTAACCCAAAGGTGACACTTCTCTGGCAGTTCAAATTACAGCAGCTTTGAGGAAGAAAGATGGGCAGTCTCCTCCAATTTACAGCCTCCAGAAACCTACTGAGGAGTTAACTATGAGTCAGCTCCTATGTGACCGCAATGACAGTTGACACTCGAGTTGAAATAATGTGTTAAAGATGTTTGAACGTGTCTAAAACTGTACAGTCTGTAAAAAAGAACCCTGTATACTAATGACTGTTTGATTTACATACAGATTCAACTGAAAGTAGATTTAAGAACAGAACATGGTAGTAATCAAAGGATTACAGTTTATAAGATTTATATGATGGTAGATAATACAATGTTTGCACAGCATCTAAATTACACATAGACTTAAGTGACACATGGCTGCGTGTATTTTCAGTTTTTCTGCTCTACCATTGGCTTTGGTAACAGGCCTACGTAACCCAGTGCAGATAGCTCATTGTAGAAATGCCAGCCTGTAGAACCTGGTTGGGTCTCAAAAACCCAAGCCCGTTACCGTGGAGTCATCTCCAACTTATAGTGACACTATGAAACGACAGAACTTCCCCGCAGGGGGTTCTAAGGCAGTAACACAGAATCAGGCTGCTTCTCCCACTGAGCTGTTGGTGGACTTGAACTCCCAGCTTTCGGCTAGCAGCCATGTGCTTTAACCCTCTGACAACAAGCCTCCTTGATCCAAGAATAGCACATCCCTCTTTTTTTCAAATCATGTTTAGCCGTGTCCACCGCCCTGTGAGCACACCGTCTAAGAACCTTTTCATGCTCCTGCGTCCAGAGATGAGGATGAGCCACTGAGCCTCAGCAGAGCCAAGAACAGGAGAGTCGCCCACACGCTGTCCCCGGCCCCTTCCAGGTATGAGCTGCATCATCAGTTACCCTTGACGGATGTGCCCTTTACCGTCCCCCAGCCCCAGTGAGCGCATGTCAGGAAAATGCCCACATATTCTTGTTTGTAATAATAAGCACAGTTGATACTTATGTTCAACTTTATATAGTCACTTTTAGGAGGTACTTAAATCCTCATAATAACCCCAGTAGGATAGACACTATTGTTATCCTTGTTCTAATAGGAAGAAACCTTAGTTTCTACAGAGAGCTGGATAATTTATGTAATATCACATAGTTAGTTTACAGGGTAGCTGGGATTAGAACCTAGAGGATGAGACTCCAAAGGGTCTTGTGGAGTGGGGGAATGGGAGGGTTTGAATGTTTGTAGAGCAAATTGTTATGTGCTGGCTAGTCAGAACCTTAACTGACTCATAGCTGACTCTCCAGCAGGTTTTCAGAGGCTAAATTGCACAGGAGGAAATTGCCTGTGTTTCTCCCACATAGACAAGTTGTTGTTGTTTTTGTTATGTGCCGTCGAGTCCCCTGTGACTCATAGCAACCCTATGTACAACAGCCCTAAACCCTGCTCTAGCCTGTGCCAATCTCATTGTCTCTGAGACACCCACCCCTATTATCCCAGTCGCTGACTCAGTCCATCTCATCGAGGGGTCTTTCTCTCTTGCATGTTAACTTAAAAAAATGTATACTTACTTGTTTTGTGACATTAGTTGCATTCCCTTCAATATCACAGCTCTCTTCCCACTCCATCCTTGAGTTCTTCCTTTCCAAAACTTCTTAAAGACAAGTCTTTGGAGGAGGAGAAAGCTCTGTGGGTGAGAAAACAACTCATTTCCCTGGGCCCTGTGCTTTGTTCACGTGTTGTTACTGGAAGTGAAGTGTTGCTTTCTTGCTGGGGCATCAGTAGCAGTTTCCAGGTGGAGAAACACTGTTCTGGGGAAAAGGAGAGAAAAATAAAATGCCTGGAAAAGGAAACCGTCTTTACAGAGAGGGAAGCCTTGGATGGTAACAGTCTAATTTAAGACACCCGGCAGCCAGGCCTTACTGTGCTGCTTCCAAGTGAAAGTGTGGTGATGACCTGAGTCTCTCCTCCCCTCTGCTTTCACCCTGCAGGAGATCCACTCCACTAGAACTGTGCCAGAATGCTCTGAAATCGCAATAGAGAAATAGAGGCGAAAGCTCAAGATCTTACCAAAGACCAGGCTTACTGCTCTGGTAGACTAGTGGAGTCCCTAAGCTAGGACTCTTAGTCACCCTTCAAACCTGAACTGACTCGCCCCACCACATCCACACCCCCTGGGACTTAACTTGCAGCCAAACAATAAACTCAGGAACCTCTGGTGGCTCAGTGGTAAAGAACTGTGCCACCAATACAAAGTACTCAGTTCCAGTCCACCAGGTGCTCCACAGGAGAAGGATAGACCACTGGTTTACTGCGTGTGAAAACCCTCTGTCTGGTTGGCTGTGAGTTAGTTCTGACTCTGCAGTACAACACAACACACAATAAGGTGATCAGCAGAGCAAGTGGGTAACAGGATTAGGAAGGATCCAGTGGGAACGTGGAAAGGTGGGGTAATTATGAACATAGATCAATGGTGATTAATTTTATAAAACACATTGTCTAAGAAAGATGCAAAACACAGTGTGAATGGAGGAATGCATGAAGCACAATTTACATAAACAAAATCAATAGAAACCTTAAAAAAATAAGGTTAATGATAATAGCAAGTGGAACACACTCCTTAGAACAGTTGACCAACCATGATGAAAATGACTGCACTGTCCAGAAGTACAGCACAGACAGGAAGGACTAGAAAAGAAGGATGGTGAAAGTGGGAAACGCAGGCGGAGAGTGAGAAGGTGCCGTGAAATTACGGGAGTCATAATCAATGTCGTGAAAACATGGATGAGCAGTTGGATGGAGGACCAACTTATTCTATAAACTTTTACTTAAATTACAATTAAAGGGCTGGTTGGGGTTGGTTTTTTTTTAAAAAAAAAGTATCAGATATCCAAGAATGAATAAAGAAAACATCCTCAAGAAATGGGACTATGAGATTCTGGACATCTGATCTTTCAGTTAAGATGAGAAGGGCCAGGGAGGTAGTAGGAGACAGTGACTCATAGTGTGCCAGATAGGGGAGTCACAGTCTGAGCAGTGAGCTGTGTTTGAAAGACCGCTGAAGCACCTGGTGCCAGGTTACAGCGTCCTGCATTGGTTTTCTCTTGGCACCACTGATGGTTGTGCTTTTCGATCAGGACCTCAGCGGTGGCCCAGACCATGTGGACCGCCGATGAGATTGCTCAGCTGTGTTACACACACTACAGAACCAAGCTGCCCAAGCAAGGCAAGCCGGAGGCCGGTCGTGAGTGGACGTTGCTGGCAGCGGTGGTGAAGATACAGTCTACAGCGGACGGGGCCTCTGACTCCCCTGACAAGTCAGTGCCGGGTGAGGCCTCTTCACCTTGGCAGGCTCCCTCTGCTGCCAGAGGCGGTCATTGAGTTACTGTACAGTGGAGTCCTGGGGTGGTGCAAACAGGCAGCCTATCTCAGGAGAAAGACCTGTCAGTTTACTGCTAAAAGATCACAGCCATTGAAAACCCATGGACCACAGTTGTGTTCTGACACACGTAAGGCCACCATAAGTCAACAGCAACTAGGGGATAGTGGGCAGCAGTGGACACTGTGTGTGTCCTCCAGGCCCCTCCCCATCAGGTGGCCACAGAGGCAGGTGGCCCACCATACTGGAACCAAGCCCTCGGTGGGGTGGGCCTGTGGGAAGCTAGTGGAGGAATGTGCAGGCTTTCTAAGCCTTAGGCCCAAAGGATTGTTCACACCCACTTAATGGTTTCTTTTCTTCCCTCAGTGAGGAAGGAAGTTGTCTCAATGGGAACGGGAACAAAATGCATAGGCCACTCCAAAATGAGGACAAGCGGTGAGTACAGGACTCTGAAACCTCTTGAGTTGCTTTGGGAGCTAGGGTTCATGAGACCTTTCATCTTCCCAGCAGAATAAAAGGAATAGAAATCATCTTGCTTTCTGGGTGATCTGCAAGCCAGCCTTATTTCCATGCTCAAGGCAGAGGTTCCCCAGGCTTAACCTTATTTCTAGAAGGCTTCAGGATTCCAAATTAGCACATGGAGGATGCAGCTGCTGAAGCCCCAGGGAACGATATTTAACCAAATGGAATTGGTGACACGAATCTGTAAGTAACCAGAAGATCTCATAGAAATCTGATACTTCGTCTATTTTAAGTTAACAGGTGGTTTCTTCCTCGAGCTTGGTTCCCCTGCGTGGCTGGTCTTACTTCACATATAAAGGACAATTAGAGGTTGAACTAAATAAAAGGAAATCCATCTTCATGTTCTGTAATAGGGACTTATATTACCATGAGCTCAAATGCTCAGGTTACTAAATAGCTGGGCCTCTGGTCTTCCTGGTAAAGACTCCCTAGAAGTCAGTGGTTCTCAACCAGAAGGCAGTGAATAGGGGGATCCCCCAGCGACACCTGAAAGTGAGCACCATGTGCAGAAGGTAAGGACAGAGGCAGACCACTCCACATTGAACAAGAGGGCTCAGATTTGTTATGGGGGGAACTTACATCAAAGATGAGGTCCTGGGCAGCATCAGGACAAGAACATCTCTGTGATATCTTCCCGAATTCCAGAGATAAGGTGGAGACAGTGAGGAGGACTGGAAGCACTTGCTGATAAAGAACAAAGACTACAGCTTCAGTGTGGATTATCCCCCGTGTCAAGGAAACAAAATGCTTACAACTGGCCCAATAAACAGCCTCATGATAAACAGAAGGATTCAAGTTGTCAAGAGTTTCCTTTCACTTGGATCAGCATCTGTGGGAGCAGCTGTCAAGAAATAAAACTGAATTGCACTGGACAAATCTGCAAATTTTTTTTTCTGATGATAGGGGCCCAGACAACAGGAAGGCAGGATTGAATAGTAGTCTTACCGTAGAAGGGGAAGGTCAGCCCCCCTGGACACCAGTGTGCCCCAGCGGGGGTGGAGCCCCACAAAGATAAATCTTTGAAGTGTTAAAAAGCAATGTCAGGAGCTCTGGTGGCCTAGTGGCAAGAAGCTGCATTACAATCCCAGAGGTACATGGTTCGGATCCACCAGATGCTCTGCTGGAGTAGGAGGGGCAGTCTCCTCCTGTGCCAGTCAGATCCGATTTGACGGTACACACAAAAAAATAATAAAATAAAAATTAAAAAAAAAAAACACCACCAACAACAAAATAATGTCATTCACTCTGAGGAAGGAAGTACACCAGATCCAAGCCGTGTCTTCAGTCGCCTGATCATGTGCCTGGGAATGCTGAAGAGTAAGTAAGGAAAACTAGTCAGAAAAGTTGACGGCTTAGAATGGAATTGGCAAAGAGTAGGAAAGACTGTTTGGACCGCGAGAAGAATGAACAGGTCTCTCTTGGATGAATGAAGTCCAAGCAGACGGCCGCTGGGAAACAAAGACGGTCAAGCTTTGCCTTCTGTACTTTGGATATGGACTCGAGAGGGACCTTGTCCCTGGAACAGTGGGGAAGAAAAAGATCCTCAATTAGATGAATTGTGAAAGTGACGGCAACAGTGGACCCGTGTGCAGCAGTGAGTACATCGCAGGACCAGGCTGTTTCTGTTGTATGTGGGGTCACTAAGAGTCAGAATTGACTAAAGGTCACCTCACACCAGCAGCAGGGAGGATTAATCATGTGACTGCCTCCTTCCCTCAAGTCTAACATGTCCAGATGTAACATTTGCATCCAGGCTCCTTCTAAGATGTGTGTTGTTTGCTCCTCGTTTCAGGAATGGCATGTTTGCCAGCACTGTGGCCAGCCCCAGGCCTGGAAGCAGCTCACATGTCCTGGATCAGTCCCATCATTTGTCTGTAACCAATGCAAGGGGAATTCCTCCCTAACTCTGGGACATTTGGCAATGTCTGGAGACAGCTTGCTTGGGGGAAGGTGATAATGGCATCTAGTAGATGCCAGAGATGCTGCTAAGCATCTTACCATTCACAGGACAGCCTCCCCAACAGCACGTTATCCATCCCCAAATGTCTTCAGTGCTGCTGGATTGAGCTACACTCTGTGTTGCCTTTGATGTTTGTGAAGCATTTTGGCAAAGCCCTCCAGCAGCCGCATGGCCATCCCTAGCCACGGGGAAGCTGTGTTCTGCGTCTGAAAATCAGGGCCTCTCCACCGTCCATGTGTTTTCATCTGCTGTCTTGTCTTTGCCACAGGAGACATCATCAATGACAGCCATGCTGAGGTCATAGCCAGAAGGAGCTTCCAAAGGTAAAGCCACACCCCCACGGCTCTGATGCCGCCCGCACGTCTGAGCTGGGGGCCTCTGAATTCTCAGTTCTAACTCCCCTGTGACAGTGATCATGTCCATCTCAGGACCACAGTGTGAGTGGCACATTCCAGACCAGTGGTTCTGGGGCCTTTGAATCCCCTGAAAGACACCTCCAAAGACCGAGACTCAGCAGATTGGTAGGAGGAATCTGAAAGGTTGAATTTCTGATAGGTTCTAAGTAATGTTGGTGCTGGTCTAGTGCATTCTCGTATTCCAGACCCCTCTCAGTCCCATTGTACTTCAGTAATACTCCCTTCTCCCTTACATCCCCTTTGCTCCAGGAGTTTAGTTCATTCTGATAATGTCCTGCAACCCATCAGGTACCTTCTCCATCAACTCCTTCTGGCCTTCCTGGAGGAGGACAGCATCTTTTTCCCAGGATCTCGGACAGGACAGTGGAAGCTCAGACCAGGCCTCTGTTTTGTGTTTTTCTCCAGCCATACTCCCTGTAAGTATATTCCAATCTTCAAATTAATGTTCCATTGTCTGTTTTCTTATGTCTGTCTTATCCATGAAAGATGTTGAGAAGTTTTAGGGCTGAAACCCAAGGTTCTAGTCTACCCACAGGTACCTCAGAAAAAAAGCTGGCTGTCAGCTTGTAAAAACTCACCTATTAAGGGGGCTCTGGTGGCCTAGTGGCAAGAAGTTGTACTGCAATCCCAGAGGCACACGGTTCAAATCCACCAGATGCTCTGCTGGAGAAGGAGGGGCAATCTCCTCCTGTACCAGTCGGATCTGATTTGATGGTACACTCACACACACACAAAAAGAATTAAAAAAATAAATAAAGTAAACAAAAAACCCCTCACCCATTAAAAGCCCTGTGGAGGCGAGTTCTACACCAGCACCCCCAGGGTCACCGCAAGTCGGAATCAACCCACTGACAGGTCGTGAGAAGATGTTCAGGAGCTGCGGTCGCGTGCAGCACGCCTGCCTGGGCCAAGCATAGCGAGCCACTCCTGGTATTCTTGAAAACTGAGTGCTTACTGCCTTTGGTAAACAAGAGCTGGAGGGTCACAGTAAAATTTCTTCAGAAGGATAGATTGTCCTCTGAGTATAAGCTTCTAAAATTGCATATTTAGTAATTACAGCAGAGCAGCAGTAATTCCTATAAAGAAACAGAATGACTGTCTGACTGAACACACTGGCATAGCTTTAAAAAGATTGAGTCTGCTGGAGTCATGCCAGGAAAATGGCCTTCAGAGAGGTAGGTGGAGCCAGCCATGCTCGGTTCCTTGCACTTAGGCACCCGGGTCAGAAGGATATTTCCTACCTTTGTGTTTCTGAACTGTAATATGCGTGTGAATGACCTGGGCATCTCATTGAGATTCAGATTCAGAAGGAGCCTGAGATTTTGTATTTCTGACCAAATCCCAAGGAGCCCCGGTGGCACAGCAGTTAAAGTGTCCAACTGCTATCTGAAAGCTGGTGGTTCTGAACCAGCCACTTTGTGAGGAAGCACGCTGCTCCCATCCCTTGAGCACCTGCGGCCTTAGAAAGCTCATGAAGCAGTCCTCTGTCTTACAGAATCACTGCTGGAATTAACACAATAGGGATGGCCTGGGAGCGAACGCCAGGTCCTGACAGCTGTGCTGGCCTGTGCACCTTGTCCTAAGTAGTCAGAGCCAGGCTGACCCCAGAGGCAGGCACATCCTTGTAGAGATGATGCGGTGGGCCTCAGCTAGCGTGATGGATGGCCCGGTCCAGTTACAGAAATCCGTGCTCCACAGACTCACGCTAATCTGCACAAGCCAGCATTCGATCCTAGCAAGACGAGAAAAAGCGGGGCTTTTTATTGAAATTTTTAAAAAAGCTCATGTCTTCCAAGTTAAGGACCATACAATTTTTTTTCTTTTTCTAAAAATAAAGGTTATCAGGATTTTTAAGAGTCCTATTTGGTGGGATAAAAAGTTGGCAATGCTCTATTGATCTAAAACTCTTTTGTGAATTTTCTGGTTTGTGAAATCAAATCTGGGAGCCCTGACGCCATTCCCCTGACTCTGAGGTGATGTTCCAAATGCGACATTCCCTTGTTTTGTCAGCTGGAAGTAGGAACACTCTCTAGAGAACGTGGCTGGCTGGCTCCCTGGGCGTGTACGTCCCATTTCTAGTTAATAAACTGATTGGCACCTGCATCAGCTACTTCATGCTCGTTTTCATAAATGTGATCTTCTTTTTTCCTTTTTTTATTTTTATTACTTTTTTTTTATTACTTTTAATGAAAGTTTACAGAGACTTTGGATTTCCATTAATTCTTTGTTGCATTTTTTCCCCTGCCCAACCTCCCCCCTCCCATAAATGTGACTTTTTTTTTTAATTTAGGTTGTTTATTTTTCATTTCAATGAACATCTACAGAGATTTTGGAATTCCATTCATTCATTGTTGCACCCTTCTCCCCACACAAACCCCTCCCCAAATGTGACTTTTATTAGCATGAATCAGCCTGTCCCCTTCTAGCATTTATCAAGATCAGACATCGGAACCTGCAGAAGACAGTTGGACCCTGATAAGTTCTCCAAAATAGGTGTCACCTTGTAGGTCCCTGGATGTGAGCTTGCGGCCTCTTTGGCAACATTCCTGTGTCTACATCTCTTCGGCCATAGATCCTGCAGATGGATTATTTACACGCTTTAGGAGAGCCATGCACGTTGGAAGGGGGAGCTCCCTTCACAAGGGATAGACTCTTACTTGACTTTGTTTTCCTTTGATCCCCGTGCTGCTGAAGTGGAAATACAAGTAGCTGGCTTTAACAAACAAATGTATTCTCTCACTTGAGGAAGCTCAGTAGTAACTCACTGATTGCCGACGAGTCTTTACCGACTCATCGCTGACCCTCCAGTAGGTCTTTGGGGGCTGTGAATCGTCTGGGATTGCTTGTCTCTCCCTGGAGCCGCTGGTAGTTAGAAGTCACATCATCCAGCTCGGGGCGTGCTTTCCCTGCGTCTGCTCTGGAAGGACCCTTCCTCTTCTGAACACTCACTCCTGGGCGATCTCCATGTGGCTTTGTGTGTCTCTTCCCTATTTCTGCTGGCTCACCTGTTTGTTTAACCATCTCTATACCTCACAAGAGAATGACTCCAAATATACCCTGAATTAATCCTCTCCATTAACATAACAAGGACAGCTCATTCCTAAGTGGAATTATAACTATATGTAAAAAAGATTGGGATTACCAGTACAACACATAATTCAACAATAATTCATAATCCAATACATAATTAACTGTTATGTACCATCAAATGGAACTGACTCATAGCTGACCCTCCATTGGGTTTTCAGGAGGCAGTAAGTCACATGGGAGAAGATTTTTGCCCATATTTCTCTTGGAATAGCTGGTGGATTCAAAATAGAATTGGTCTTTCTCTCAGGCCAAACCAGAAAAACCATATTCACTACTGTTGGATCAGTTCCAGCTTGCAGTGACCCTGTAGGACAAGGTGGACGTGCCCCCGAGGGGTTCCGTCTTCACAGAAGCAGATTAGGTTCAAACTGCTGACCTTTTGGTTAGCAGCTGGCCACTTTACCAAACTTAAATTTGTGTTCCTTGGGGTCACCTGGAGAGCTTGCTGGGGCCTGCTCTCCAGAATTTGTTATATACCAGGATTACTGTGGTTCCCAAGAATGTATCTGAGTTCTCAAAGGATGCTAGTATGGCTGGCCTGGGGACCCCACCCGGCCAACCACTGATTTGAAGGCTCTCTGGGGACCCCACCCAGGCAACCACTGATTTGAAGGCTCTCTGGGGACCCCACCCAGGCAACCACTGATTTGAAGGCTCTCTCTCCCCCTGCAGGTGGTGATGCCTCCATCATTCCAATGCTGGAGTTTGAAGACCAGCCTTGCTGCCCTGTCAGCAGCGATTGGGCCAACAACCCATCTGTGGAGGTCACCGGTAACTGTGAAGCTCCTGAAAAGAAAAGGAAATGTGAGAGTCCTGACAGTCCTGTACCCAAAAAGATGAAGTCTGAGCCTGAAACCCCTGCCAGGGAAGTGGCCAGTGGTGTCACACGGCAGCAGGAAAGTGTCCCAACCACCCCAGCTGTCAGCAGCTCTGATCCTGCCCCAGAGGGACTGTATGCTGTGTCCCCAAGTGGTGCCAAGGTGGTGGACGTTTATAGAACTGGAGCCAAATGTGTGCCTGGGGAAGCTGGAGACTCAGGGAAGCCGGGGGCTGCGTATCACCAGGTAGGGCTGCTTCGAATAAAGCCAGGCCGGGGTGACAGAACCTGCTCCATGTCCTGCAGTGACAAGCTGGCTCGCTGGAACGTTCTCGGATGCCAGGGGGCACTGTTGACGCATTTCCTGGAAGAACCCATCTACCTGTCAGCTGTGGTGATCGGGAAATGCCCTTACAGCCAGGAAGTCATGCAGAGAGCCCTGATTGAGAGGTGAAAGGGCAGTGGGGAGGTACTTGTGAGAGCAGAGCTTTGCACTGCTTAGTCCTGGCCAGAAATTAGGATAGGCCAGAATTTTTAAACTTTGAGTGAAATGGGGAGAATTACAGGTAGAAGCCCCAACATAGTAAACTCAGAAGTGTCATAGCCCTTTCAAGATCCTGATGTGGAACATGAGATTGTCACCAAGGCGGTGACGAAAGAAACACACCCAGATTAGTGCACTTGGCTGCGGCTTTGAGCAGGGCAACATTGTTTCCCTCTCTGCTGGTTAAAAGATTTGTTTGCAATGCACCACTCTTGGCTGTCCTTGTTTTACAAGAAGAGATTAAGTCTGAAGCAACAACATTAACTTATTTTCCTCATCCTGGTTATTTTCCACTTCATCTTCAGTTTACAAATTCAGCTCTATTCTAATTTAACTTTGTCAATCATGACTGAATCTGAAAGAACTGCTTTGAATACCTGTATACAATCAAATTCGGAAATGCTTAAAGTATTGGTGCCTTGCAATCTGTAATTCCACTTTTGGGTGTTTTTTTCTAAGGAAACAACTAAGAAAGCACTCCAGCATTTGAATTTGCCATCATGTAGGAAACTGCTCACAGCTGACCCTCACACAGGGATTTACAAGATGCTGTAAATCACAAAGGATTGCTAAGCTTCTGATGGACTCGAACCCCCTGAGAGAAACGGCAGCGCCACAGGGCTCCCTAGTTTGTGTATAGGAATTCAAAAGAAGAAAGAAACAGCCAGAATGCCCAGCAGTAGCATTTAATGTGGTTAAAATGATTTTTGTTAAAATGTTGATCTAAAGAATATAATATTTACAAAAATTAGATCATTTTGATCTTTTAATATATAACACATTGCCATCAAGTTGGAACCGACTCAAGCTGACCACCCATTGGGTTTCCAAGGCAGTGGGAGGAGATTGCCCATCTTTTCGCTAGGGAAGCACTGTTTAATTCAAACGGCCAGAGGCAGCAGGTTTTGGGTCAGCTGTAGCCCTGACTGTGGACCACCAGAGCACCCTCTTAAAGAATCTGTACCTCTGGGGAGCTATACACCAAATGTTTGATAGTGCTTGTCTCCTGGGGAGGGAGGGTGGGAGCAACTGCGGGCGGGTATGGGCTGATGAAAATGTTCCAACTTAACATTGTAGTAATAGTTGCACTACCATAGATACATAGGATATAACTGACATGCACATTTTCAATGAGTGCGTTTTAGAGTACGTGGATTATCACTCATGAAAGATGTTCTGAAAGAAAGGCAGACTGGCCAGGCACAGCGCCTAGGATATTTCCTGTGGTTTCCCTTCTGGGACAGTAAACTGCCTGCTTTCTTCTTATTTTATACGAGTGTCGTGTTGGCTTCTATTTCGCATGAAAAATACAAGAGAAGTTGAGGCTTTTATGTTAGATGATAATTAGAGTTTCTGTGTGTTTGAAGGATTCCCTTAGCAAGCAGATGTCACGTTGGTGTTTCTGCTTATGGTTTTTCAAAGCCTGTGCTGCATCAGGAATTAAGAGAGCTTGTTTTCACAGAGGTCCCCAAGAGATGGTGCCTCATTTCTTGAGTTACCACTTCAGAGTGTTAGGGAGGGACCTTCTCAGGCTGGGTTTCTATTTTGGTGGTGTTTTTGTTACGTACCATGAATCAGAACTGATTCATAGCTGACCTTCCAGCAGGCTTTCAGAGACAGTGAATCACATGGGAGGTGATTGCCCATCTTTTTTCAGTGAAGCTACTGTCGGATTTGAACCACTTGCTTTTGCATTCATTGCACAACTCCTTACCACTAAGCCACCAGAGCTCCTTTCTCTTCTGATACCCCCTGTAGATTCAGCCCTAGTAAGTGAACAGACAATATTTGTTGTTGATACAAGTAATATTCTACTGTATGAATATCAGTCTCTGGGTGGACAGAGAACACAGTCCATTACTTAAATGGTTAGAGATTTGAGTGCACCCAGTACTCACAAAGCAAAGTCCATAGGGAGCTCTGGTGGCCTAGAGGCAAGAAGCTGCACTGCAATCCCAGAGATAAGCAGTTCAAATCCACCAGATGCTCTGCTGGAAAAGGAGGGTCAATCTCCTCCTGTACCAGTCAGATCCAATTTGACGGTACACACACAAAAAATAATAAAATAAAATAAAACCCACAAAAAACCAAAGTCCTGGCAATCTGCTTGCAAAACAGATCAAGTCTGGGAGCCCCTGTGAGGTGCAGTTCTTCACTGACGGGGTTACTGGGGGTTGTAGTGAACTGCAGTTGGTTTTATTTTCTTTTTTGGCATGGATATACCACATTTTGGTTATGCATCAATCAGTTTGGGCAATCTGTGGAGACCTAGTGGTAAGAAGTTGCACTGCCAACCCAAAGGCACTCAGTTCAAATCCACCAGGTGCTCCAAGGGAGAAAGATGAGCAATCTCTTCCTGTGCAGCCTCCTCTTACAGCCTCTAAAAACCACTGGAGAGTCAGCTAGGAGTTGGTTCCGACTTGACAATTCATCAGTGAATGAACATCTGCGTTGTTCTTAATGCTGTGACCACTTACGCGCAAGTGTTTGTGTGGATAAATAAGTCTCTATGCCTCCTCAGGCCTGTGCTTTGCACTATGACTCAGGAGTCTGATATAGCTCTCAATCCTAGATATTCTTTTCTCCACAGACGTGCCCCTACAGTGAATCTGCTTTCTCTCACATTTAGGTGTAGAAATGTCTCAGATTTACCCAAAGGCTTTAGAGTTCAAGAGCTGAAAATCCAGCAGTCTGATCTTCTGTTTGAACAGAGTCGCCATGCAGTGCAGGCAAAAAGGGCTGACAGCCCGGGCCGGCTCGTTCCCTGTGGGGCAGGTGAGTGGTCCTGGTTAGATTTCCCTGTGCAATGTTCTCGGGGTGGGGGACACCTCCTCCAGCCTAGCCAGGCAGCCTTCCACAGAGGAATCAGTAGTCTATGCTCTCTTAGCCTCAACCTTCATCTTTAGATAAAAAGAATCTCATTTATCGGTGTTGTAGGAGGATTTAATGAGAACTCACACTTCATGCTTTTACTGTACCGCCAGCATAAAATTAATGCTCAGTGACTATTAGCTGCTAGAACAATCGTGATGAATCATCAGCCACTTTATACTGTTGTACTCCAGATGCCAAACCAGAGTGACAGTCATCTCTGACTTCATATCCAGCTCTCCTGGCATATAACATTTGAAATACAACATTTCTTTGGTTTGTTATATCCTTTGCATTCTCTGCAAAGGCAAAGAAATGTTTGCTCACGACGCCTCTGCCCTATCTCTGGAAGCAAGCTGAGCAGCTCTAACCCAGAATCCTCTCTTCTTAGCCATCAGCTGGAGTGCAGTTTCTGAGCAGCCCTTGGATGTTACTGCCAACGGCTTCCCACAGGGGACAACGAAGAAAGCCATCAGCAACCTTCAGGCCAGGTACAGCATTCCCGCAGAGGGAGGTGGGAGGGGATGGTGCTGACTCACGCCTCGCCACTGGTTAGTCCCCGAGCATTTTCATCACCCGAAAAAAAGAAATCCACACCCATGAGGTCCCCCTCCTCTGTCCCTCCCTGCCCTTTGTCTTGGTAACCCTTAACCTACACTCTCCTTCTAGTCTTTCTGCCTTTCCTGGACCTTTCGTAGAGATGGAATCACACAGTATGAGGCCTTGTGCTTCTGACCTAGTTAGCATAATATCATTCATGTGTAGAATGTGTCACTATCTCCTTAATTTTTAGAGCCAAATAATATTCTATTGTATGGATCTGTCGCATTTTGTTGATCCATTCAACAGCTGATGGAAATTTGTGGTACTTGGAGTTTTTGCTCTGTACCTTTGTGTGCCAGTTGATGTGGATATATATCTTCACTTTAACTGGGCATGTACCTGGGAGTAGAATTAATGAGTCGTTTGAACTAGGTTTAACTTTCTGAGGGACTGCCTACCATTTGCCTTAGAAAATATAAACCAAGGGGAGCTCTGGTGGCCTAGTGGCAAGAAGCTGTACTGCAGTCCCAGAGGCGCACGGTTCAAATCCACCAGATGCTCTGCCGGGGAAGGAGGGACAATTCCCTCCTGTACCAGTCAGATCTGATTTGACGGTACACACAAATAATAAAATAAAATTTAAAAAAAAAGAAAATATAAACCAGTTGTTCCGGTTAACATTTCTGCCAACAGTGAATGAAGGGTCCCGTTATCCGCCATCTTTTATCGTTTTATTAAAGCTTCTCTCCCGTACTTTGGGCTTGTTGTCAAGAGGGGCCAGTCCTTAGAAGAGGACAGCATGTTTGGAGGGGTGTCCTGCCAGTCTCAGGCAGCAGCCCACTTCTAGGGGTCAGCTCCCTCAAAAGACGAGCCATGATACCTCCTCAGTGCGCTGGAGCGAAATGTAGCTCTTCATCCTCAGTCCTCCCTGACCCCGTGTGGGCCTGTCTCTCCTCATCCCATTGCTGTGAGATTTCACAAGATGAGGTTTATTTGTGACGCCATCCTGACCAAACGTGCAGATCTGCGTCATTCTACCAAATGCAGGAATGGAGACTCCAGCGCATTCAGCCCAAGCCAAACACCACTCAGAGCCCACTGTGCTTGGCACGAAGCCTGGCACATAGTAAGCACTTCATAAATGCTCTTTTTTTCCTTATTGAACAGATCTCGAATCAGCAAAGCGGACCTCTTTAGATCATTTCAGAAGCTGCTGAGCAGTATTTCCGAGGACCAGTGGCCAGACTCCCTCAGGTGAAACCTAACTAAGTGACTAGTGACCCATGTTTTGCATATGTGAGACTTTTTTTTTCTTCTAAAATTGTGATTTTAGTGAACATTTACAAAGAGACTGGTTTTCATTCATTCATACATACACCTTTTCATCTAGGAGACTCTTCCTGTTTTCTCCTGACTTTAGAATGGCAGTGAGCTCTGGTAGGAGTGGTGGTTTAGCAGTGTCCTGTTGCCAGGTAATCAGTTCTAACTCGTAGCCATCCTGGAGGGTGGAGGAGGAGTGCGCCATGTGCATCCATGTGCTTCCAAGGCTGTAATCTTTACATAAGTAGATGCTGCGTCTTTTCTCTCATGGAGCCACTCGTGGATTTGAATTGTCCACCTTCTAATTACCAGCTGAGCATCTTAACACCAGAGTCCCCTTCAGCAGTCCAGTGGGTCATACTCTAGTGGATTCTTCTCTCCCTTTGGCTCTATTTGCATATGTATACAGAGAATGAATGGTTGTAAAACCATGTTGAGGGGGAGGGACCACTAACCAGTGCATTTGTAGAAAGCCCAGAAAAAACCATTTATCTGGCACGCTGTAGAGAAAAGAAAAAGTCAGAGGTAGAGAGTCTCAAGACCCACAATGACTACATCCTTAAGGGAGATTTGTAGAGGTAACTGTATTAAAGTTTCATTTCATATCAAGGTGCTTGATGTGGAAAGGGGGGTGCTCCTGTATCTGCTTAGAGGTTCTGTCTGATAAGAGAGACTTTGGACATGAACCTTGAGGTCTCCTCAGAGACACAGGATATTCACGGAGGTTGTTAGGAAGGCACTATGAGAATGCAGTGAATTCCTTTAGCCCAGGTCACTCCGGGTGGGGATGGAAAGGAACCAGCCTTAGGCTGGGCCTCCCAGCTCTTCCTTTCATGTACGTGCATATTAAAGGAACTTGCTGGGAGACGGATGAATCTCAGGAGAGGAAGCATGGAGGTTTCTGATAATTAACTCCTTGAATTGGCAGTAGGACTTGTACAAATGTTTTTAATCCCTGCTCCCTAGAGCAGCCTGCTTTTTCTGCCAGGTCTGAGCATGACCGAGTGCCTTTTCTCTAGAGCAGTCACAGGAGACAAAGGGCAGGGTCCTTCTCAGGCTTGGTTCCTTCTAAGCCCTCTTTCTCTTCCCCCTTTACATGGAGAGGCCTATTGGTTAGTTAAGTAAGTGTTCCACCGCAAGCCAGAAGGTTAGAGGTTATCGTCCGTCCTGTGGGTCCCCAGGAGACAGCCTGCTTCTGGAAGGTCACAGCCCTGAAATCCTGTGGAGCAGTTCCCGCTGAATGCGCATGAGCTCACCATGAGTCAGAAGCAGAACCAAGAACAAGAAGACACAGCATCATGTTGACGTGAATGCGGGGAGAGCAGAGGCTCCGTGAGGAACACTACACTCGCTCTCTTGTTTACATCAGTGGCTGTGGACTGGAGTTGTGTGCTTTAAACAGCTCTATAAATAGGAATGCAGAGTAGGAATAAAGATATAATAGAAAGTTGTAAAACCACATTGGGGGACTGACTAGTGGGTGGGAAGAGAAAAAGTAGGTAGAAGCTTCTAGAGGAAGAGGCTGGCCACTTGATGACAGAACATGCATGCTGAAGGCTGGCCTCTGTGGTAATTTTACTTCTTTCTTATCTGGGAGAAGTTGTTTCTGTTTCATTCCTGGTATTGGGAGTTTTCTCTGCATTCATCCTTGTGTTAAATAACAACAAATCCAGACTTAAGGAGATGTTTTATTTAAAAAAAAATTATTGCAGAAAAATAAAAATAAGAAAAAAAAAGAATTATTGCAGGGAGAGAAAATGTATTCTTTCAAAAGCTAGGAAGAATGCTCAAACCATGAGATCTTCGAGCATTGCAAAGCTTAAGCAGAAAGGAATCTTTGTTGGGAGAAGAAAACCAGGCTAGAAAGGGGCAGGTAGGAGCAGAGGGTGGTGTTCTCAGAGAGTTAATCCAGGGGTCTGGAGGAAGGAAGAAAAGATTAAAGTTGTATCAAGTCAAGTTAGCAGGATTTTTGCCCTGATTAGTCACTGGGTGCAACCAGTTCAGGGATCAAGGACAAAGAAGGGGGTTTCGGAGGGCTGGTGTCTGGCTTTATCATAGCTAGACTGTGTGAGGGGAAGGTCTGTAAGTTTTTCAGCAAAGTCACAGGACTCTGTGGGGAAGTCCTATGTGGAAGGACCCTAAGCCATAGTAGAGAAGAGTGGTTCTTTGCCATTTCCCAGAAAAGGTGGAGGGTTTCCTAACCTTCCTTGTTTTCCTGCAGCTCTGGTTCCTGGTATATGTACCCTGATCTTGTACATGGACCTCAGTCCTTAATCTAGGAAACTTAGCTAAATAAATATTTATGAAGTTGTTGCCTAGTTGAAATGTGTGTAAACGGTAGAAGAAAATGTTTTTACCAGTCTCAAGTACTATCAGTATTACTCAGCTTGACATCTCTTCTTAGTCAGAGCTGGCATTGGGAACAGGAGGGTAGTAGATAAGAGAGGGGAATATGAGTAATATGGAGAGTGCTTTGCTTTGTTAGAGAGAAATCCAGCTGAGAACTTTCAAAGGCCTCGTCTTCAGTTTCTCAGAAAATTTGAAACCAGAAAGTAGGTAGTTATTCTTTTATCTCTTTCTGTAAGAATTGAAAAGAATTGGCATTCTGCTCATCTCACCTGTTTTAATCCATGTTGCTTTCTAATGAGTTCCTAAGGAGGCAGAGTTCTAGGAACACATCCTGAAATCCTCTGAACTATGTCTCTCATCACAAATGTGTCCACCGGCTTGCTCAGGCATCTTGTGGACAGTGGCCGGAAGCTGTTGAGTACCTGTGTGATTGGTGGTATGTGTATTTTAGGGGGCAGAAGCTAGAGACATACCTGGACTACAAGGAGGCCGCGTCCACTTACCAGGAAGCCTGGCTTGCACTCCGGAGGCAGGCATTCGGAGCCTGGATCAGGAACCCACGGGATTATCACCAGTTTAAATGAGGAGAAGAATTGACTGGCCTCAGGCTATTTTTGGTGCTTCACCTGGAACTGCCTTCTTCCTTTATACCAAACAACTGATGGCTGAGGTGGCTGAGTCGGGAAAGGCTTTGCCCAGAGCATTGATTGTATCTCTTGTGTCCTGTAGATGAAATTCCGGAACATAGATCAGTCTGTATTGGTTGAAGTAATACTCCTAAACAGCATCTCCATAATGGGCGTGACGTTAGTCCTTTGTTTTCTATTGCCTTCTAAAGTGTGAGTTTGGAACACGATGCCTTCCAATTCCTCTGCAGCAGTCTTGTTACATATATTCCTAAATGGGTTCAGCCAGTAATTTTGGGGCTGGTATGTGTGTGGTGTTTGAGTTCTCTGCTGGCTTTGAGCTTCACTTGGCATGATGAATAGTGGATTTTGTATACCCAGCATCCCTTCCTCGAAGAGGCATGTTTTCCCGTGAACTTAGCGGTCCTGTGCTTTCCACGACAATTAATCAGATAACCCTGCTGCAAGGCAACGTGAGGTCCTGCCCTTGAGTAGTGTAGAACTGTTGTCAGAATGCTCGAGGGACAATCTCTCTTCTTCTAGCTCTGGAGCTGTCAGGGCCACATAGACTGCCTATGGTCATTTTCACCACCACCAAGAGAGCCAGCTCAAAAAATAAAGGTGACAAGATAACACCAAGAGGGTAAGAGCCCTGGAGGCTTTGTTGGGGCACCCAGAGTCAGATATGCCTGAAGCCAGAGCCCAGCATGGATTTCAGTTCTTGTGATCATGTCACTTTCAGCTGACAGAACTGTCTTTTTTTTTTAATTGGGAAAAACATATTGGGGGTACAAGGAGGTGAGGGTTGGGGCAGAAGGGTGAGGATGGTCCAGGATGCAGTTGCAGAGCTGCACGTTTGGTCGGTGGGGGGAGCAGGTGAAGGAAATGATGAGGGTCCAGTGGGGACCAGATGCTACAGAGGAATGACAAGCATTTTCCAATGGTAATTAAACCAACTGTCTTATTGATTTGGGAATTGGATGCCAACTCTCTGGCTTCTTCATGCTGAATGGGGCGTAGATGTAAAGGGGGAAAGGGAGGTGACAGAACTGTCTTAAAAGGCCAGAGGCCCTACAGCAAGTCAGGAATAAAACTATAAAGCAGTCTGTTTAACATCTGAGATTTAACTCTCTACTTCTTCTTATGTTTCTTTATTTTTCTTTTTTTTTCCTATGCTTCTTTAATTACTGATTGGAAACAGATACTTTCCATGTTGGACTTACTCAAGGACCCTGTTTTTTCATCGCTATTTTTATGGCATTAAGTATAATTAATAGCATCATAGACATGTAATTTGCATACCATTATGTTATACGAATTACCACCTCTTTAAAATTAAACTCACACTCATGAAATACACAAAATGGGTGACCCTGGAGGACATTATGCGGAGTGAAATATCTCAATCACAGAAGGACAAATACTGCATAATGCCACTGTTATAAAACAGAACTGACATCAGAGCTGGGGGCGGGGGAACTAAGAAAAGAAGGAATAAATAATGTGCACTGCATTGAAACAGATGAGGGAAAGAACTGCTTAAAGGAATATATGATTAGGTATTATTTGCATGACACCAGTCCAGAATAAGAGGGGTGGGAGTGGGGAATTAATACACCAATAAAATAATTTTTTTCTCAAAGAGAAAAGCGAAATGGGGAGGCTGGACCAGGAGGAAAATGTGCAACAATAAGGGGAGCTCTGGTGGCCTAGTGGCAAGAAGCTGCACTGCAATCCCAGAGGTGCATGGTTCGAATCCACCAGATGCTCTGTCGGGAAAGGAGGGACAATCTCCTCCTGTACCAGTCAGATCCGATTTGATGGTACACAGACACACAAAATAATAATAAAATAAAAAAAAAGAAAATGTGCAACAATGAATGAATGGAAATGCAAGTTCTCTAATAAATTTTATTTAAAAATAAATAAATAAATAAAATTAAACTCAACCTCTTTAAAATTCAGTTGTGCAAGCATCACCACAATCAATTTTAAAACATTGTTATATCCTGTAAAGGATCTCTATGCCCATTAACAGTCACTCCCCATGTCCCCCAGCGCCTCAGCCTTAGACACCCACCATGCAGGTAATGATGGATTTGCCCATTCCAAACATTTCATATAACCGGGATCACACCTTGTGTGTCTGGCTTCTTTCATTTGCCATAATGTTTTCTTTAGGTGTAGTCCATATATGTAAGGCTGTAATTTTTTATCATCTGCAGCAAATATTTCACATCTTTTTTAGCAAGCAGGGTTGTGTCCTCTGCATAATATAGGTTGTTGATGAATCTTCCTCCAATTCTGTTACAGCATTCTTCTTCATGTAGTCTAGTTTTTGAAATTATTTGCTCAGCATGCAAAGTCTATCAATAAGGAGAAAAGATACAACCCTGACACACACCTTTGCTGATTTTAAACCATGGAGTTTTTCCTTGGTCTGTTTACACAGTAAGTTCTTGATCCTAGGTATAGGTTTCACATGAGCATGGTTAAATGTTCTGGAATTACATTATCTGTGTGTTATTGTGGGAGTTCTGGTGGCACAGCCTGCAAGGAATTGGGCTGCCAACCTAAAGACCACTCCTGGGGAGCTCTGGTGGCCTAGTGGCAAGGAGCTGCAACTACAATCCCAGAGGTGCACTGTTCGAATCTACCAGATGCTCAGCGGGGAAGGAGGGACAATCTCCTCCTGTACCAGTCAGATCTGATTTGACGGTACACTCACACAAAAATAATTTAAAAATTAAAAAAATGTATATTTTTTTTTAAAAAAAAGACCACTCCTCTCTGGCTGCTGGAATCCACCAGCAGCCCTAAAGGAGAAAAATGAGCAATATCCTCCTGTGCCACTTCCAGAAAATCCGCTGCGAGTCCACCTATGAATTGGTTCTGACTGGAGAGCAGTGAGTTTGGGTTTTGATACCTGTATTTTGAGGGGTCACAGTTCAATCTATGACATACTATTCTTGTTTATTCCCCTTTCCTTCCCCACCCCCGAAGCATTTTCAAAACAAAGTGCAAACATCTTTAAAAGTTAACAGTATAAAATTCAGTCTCATTTTCCCTTGTAATCTCAAAAACTGTCTTTGGCCTGTATCTAAACAAAGTTCCCACAATGCAAATATGTATTTTTGTAGGGGAGCTCTGGTGGCCTAGTGGCAAGGAGCTGCAACTACAATCCCAGAGGCGCACGGTTCAAATCCACCAGATGCTCTGCCAGGGAAGGAGGGGCAATCTCCTCTAGTACCAGTCAGATCTGATTTGATGGTACACGCACACAAAAATTTAAAAAAAATATGTATTTTTGTCGTTTTAAATCTCTATTTACCCACCATTTTATATGCTAGAACAATTTAAGTCATTTATCCTGTAGAAGATCCCCTGCTCCAACTTGGTGGCTTATTTCCTCCTGGAAGAGCCTTAGGAAGATGGATTGACACAGAGTAACGCTGGGCATGTGCAGGTCGGAGATGCTGAGGACAGAGGGTAGGTAAGACTCTGATCTGTCATTGAAAGGGTTGCTGTGAGCTGTAGTCACCTGGATAGCTCCTGCCGACAACAGCATTATTGAATAGGTGCCTCCACGCTGTGCTTTGAGTGGCATCCACTTCCTGCACAACATACCTCTGGAAACTTTCTGAACTCTGAGAAGTGACAAAAGTCATAGAAAGGCCTCAGGTCTTTTGTTCACAGGGTCACTGTAAGTCCTGCTCGACTCACCGGCAATCAGCAACAGAAACATCCTGTACTTTGGGCATATTGCCAGGAGGGATCGCTTATTGGAGAACATCGTACTTGGAAGAGGAGAAAATCAGCAGAGCAGAGAAAAACCCTGGATGAGATCATTGTCACAGTGACCACGGCAGTGAGGGCAGGCGATCAGAGAAGGTAAGGTTGGCTCAGGAGAGGGCAAGGTTCAGAACCACTGTCACTCACTGGAGGGCACTTAAAAAGTAACATCTCCTCTGTTTCTTAAACTTTACAGTTCCCGTGTAGAAGTTTGATTATAGGTGATTCTCCACTTTAAGAAAAACTTTGTCAAGTAATCAGTTATTTGATTACCTTGCAGTACATGCCACTCAGAGGAGGAATAAATAAATACTTACGTGCCTTTACATAGACATTTTCCAAAGAATCCGTTGCTGCCCCAGCAACCTCCAAAGTGACCAGTGGTGATGGGGCATTCATGTCTGTGTTGGATTTTGTTGTCTGGTGTCGTGTTGAATTCCTGGTCTTTGTCTCAGAGCAGTGCAGCTGATCTTTTTGATCCTCAGATTACTTTGTCTTGGGCCAGAAGAGAAGCCTCTTTGAGAAGGCGCCTGTTTTACTTTCCAGTGCCTCCTTGACGTTAGGCACCATGAGATGTACCCAAGGTTCATTGTGGGTGTTGCATCCCCAGCTGGGAATTTAGCCTTTTGTCAGCTCCTGGCTCCTGTTAGTGGGATGTTTATTTAGAGACCAGTCTGGAATTTGGGGTGCTCATTACTACTGGGTTGGTTATGGTTTCTGGGCCTTTTAAGTAGATAGAGCTAGGACATTTTCTAAAGAGAAAACCCCTTTTGGGGTTCATCCTGGCTCTCATATGATTCCTATTCAGATCCAGGACCATCGGGTCCCCATTGATCTTCAGTCTCTAGCTCTCTTACCCTTTGCCAGCAGTGTTCCTTTCTGAAAAGAAAAATGACTGTTTATTGTGCTTTAAATGAAAGTTAAGAGACCCAGTTGAATTACCATTGACTCATTCACAAAGATTATTTGACAGCTCCGTCTCACATACTTTGGGCATGTTGCCACGAGGGACCAGTCCCGGGAGAAGGACATCGTGCTTGGAAGGGTGGTGGGACAGTGCAGGAGAGGAAGACCCTGCCCCCAGATGAGATGGATTGACACAGTAAGTGGGATAATGGAGCTAGATGTGTCAGAGACAGACTGGCCCAGAATAGAGCAGAGTCCAG